ATATTTGTGTGGAGATTTATGAGAATGCCTATTTATATAGGGTGATTGTTTTTTGATCTTTCAAATTCTCAGTGTTACCATTGTTTTAAGCAACAATTCTAGAGTTCAACTCCCATGAAACCCCAGTTCATTCCTATTCCCAATACTAGCAATTAGGAATTCCATATGAGAAAAAATTTCTATTATTTTTTCAAAGCATTAGATTATGCATCGAGAGAGTAGCATGAGATAAAGAGTATTTCTGATTTTATCTTATCTGTCGGGAGTCCAGTTCAGCGTCACAAACTTTTTTGTTTTCACACCAGAAGGCTCTTAACAATTTTATGTTATGAAAGAGTGTGAAAATCAAAAAAAAAAAAGAAAAAGAAAAAAAAGAAGAGTCTTTTTTCCTTATTTTCTTTAATCAGATTAAAAAGAAACTTTGAGATTGTTGAATCACAGACAAATCAAAGACAAAATAATCATAATAAATATATAAATCATTTTATATCAATATACCAATGGGCAATTATAATGTGTAGAGGAGTCAACAATATGGCGCAGCATAATCTAACATTTAAATCTTTGATAATTGCATATTCTTATTCTTATTCTCCTCATCAACTTTATATTGAAAAGGAGAACATTGAACAAGTCTCCTCGTACAAGTCTTGTAAGAATAAAAATGTCTAACTTAGTTTGTAGAGAGTTTACAAATAACTACCAATAAATACTAAATGCAAAATTTTAAAAAAATTAAGCGTTTCCCAATGTAGTTAAATTCTACAAAATATTATAATATGTAACATCAGAATATGCTCTTTTTATTGCCACCATTATTAAGCCTAGCAAACTTTTGGAGTTATAATTTCTGATTGAAAGAACTTTCACGAAATCAAACTCTATTCTGAAAATAGTTTTAATTTTACGACTTGCTCATGAAGTACATAATCTAGTCTGCTTCTATTATATCATCAAGCAATCAAAATAAACAATTTTTCTTGGATTGCTATTCATTTCATTAGTAACTCTTATATTACAGAAATACTGTTAATTTTTCATCTGTAGAAGGATTTTGATCATTATTATTCTTTATTGATAAGACATCTACTATTATGTAAAGTCATGTCAAAACATCTGAAAATATATATATTTTAAAAAAAAAAAAAATTATCTAGCATTCTTTATGTAAGATAATTTATGAAATTTCAAATTTATATTTAAATTTTTTAATTCTCCAACCAAAAAATATAATTTTCCCAATAAAATAAATATAACATCTGCAACATATGAATTTTTTTTTGGAAAAATTACGACATAAAGTCACGAGTACTTTGTATGTTTAGGTAGGTTTTTGTTTGTAAATAGAAGTCCATATATAAATTATTTTGTGAATAAATTAATAATGTTGATGTAGAAAATGCGTGGAAGTCTTTTTGTTTACCCATAACCTTTTCATTCCAATTTTACCTCTAAAAAGTAAAAACTGATTTTTACAATTCATTTAAGAAAAATAAAATTGTATTATAATAAGAGCACTGATATGACGATATTCAAGTAACATCCTAAAATTTAAAGTATTTATTTATTTATTTACGGTTGTCATTACAAAACAAAAAGAGTTATATTGTGAAATGTTGGTAGTGGTTATGATTTGTCTGATTCTTTATAAAGACAAGATTCGACGAAAACAAATCGGAACTCTTCCTCGTCTACCAAAAAGGCGTGTGATTTATTGAAATAAATACCGAATCTTACGTGGCTTTATTCACGTCAAATAATTTTTCTTTTTTCTCTCCCTTCCTCTTGTTTCTTTACCAATTATTCTTATACATCCCCTCTTGATATACATATATCCAAAGCATTCTAAAGACAAAATCCAATATTTTTATCCTCGCTCATTTTTCAAGATCACCTACTTTTCTTTATTCATAAATCTTTCAAGAATAAATCTTTTCAACCAATATATGGAGAAGATTTTTTTTGTTAAGTAAATATCCACACAAGAGTTGCCATTACAGAACACATTAATTTCTTTCGGGATAAAAAAAAAAAAGAAGAAGAAGAAGAGAAACGATGAATCTTCTCAAAGTAACAGTTGCAGCTTTTATTTTTATTTTTTTTTTTCTTTTTCTTTTTCTCTCCATTCCTCTTCGTTTTAGTACCTAACTCTTTATCATCGATCTTTTCTCTCCTAATTTTTCCTTTTTCTCTCCCTTCCTCTTCATTTTAGTACCTAACTCTTTATCATCGATCTTTTCTCCTAATTTTTCCTTTTTCTCTCCCTTCCTCTTCATTTCTCTACCAATTCTTCTTATACATCCCCTCTCTTGATATACACATATCCAAAGTATTCTAAAGAAAAGATCAAATATTCTTTATCACCTACTAGTCTCTATTCATAAATCTTCCAAGAATAAATCTTTCCAATCCTAGATGAAAAATATGGAGAAGCTTTTTTTTTTTTTTTGGTAAGTAAATATGCACACAATAATTGCCATTACAAAACACATTAATCTCTTACGGGAAAAATCTCTAAAATTGGAAAATAAAACTCTACTTTTTCTTTTACTTTTTTGTTCTGTTTTGGTTTTGTGCTTCTGTATTTTTTTTTAAAATTTTATCTTCAATTTTGCGAAATCAAAAAGAGAAACAAAACCAAAATCAAAGATAAAATTGAATACAAAAGAAAAATTGAGAATTAGAGGAAGAGAGGAGAGAGAAGGAATGAGGTAGGAGTTATGTTTTTAAAAAATAATCTGACGTGACTGAACCACGTTAAGTTCGACCTTTTATTCGGTTGTTTGGTTTGGTTTTTTTATCATTTTTCAAAAGTTAAAGAGGGTGTTTATGCAACTTAATTTGTATGGAAAAGAATGTTTTTATGTTCAGAATAGAAGTTAAAGAGGTTGTTTATGCTCTTTTGTATGGAAATTAATGTTTTTATGTCAGCAACAATACAAGCCTAAGCTTATGAAAATATTGATCTTGTAACAGTTAAATAAAAATAGCATAGATTTCGCACAAATTCGTAATTTAAAATTAATTTTAGTTTTGTCGGGTTTAATATTGTATTCAAAAATAGTAATTAAACACCCTCTTTAATTCCTATTTTGACAGACTAAGGGCTAGTTTGGTGTGGTAGAATGAATTAGAATGGAATGGAAATAGAAGTGGGAATGGAATGAGAATGGAATAGAGTAGGAATTGTGATTCCCATTCTCTTGTTTGATTGCAAACATAAAATGGAATGTATAAAAGTAAAATAATAATTTTCATTTATTTGTTTGGTTGGACTAAAAATAAAAATGGATTAAATTTATAATGTTTTACCTTTTTCATCATTTATATTGTTTTCTCCAAATTATTTTTATCATTAATAAAAAAAAAATTAACTAAAAAATTAAGATTAAAATTTTCCAATCCAGTGGATAGAAACAGGTATGTAAGAATGAAATTGGGGCAATAGATAGAGAGAGAATGTAGAAACTAGGCAAGTGAGGTGTTAGAGATTGGGGCGAGAAAAGGCGATGGAAAGAATGGTGATCCGATTTGGAAAGAATGGTGATCCGATTTACAAACTTCAGTGCGATTGGGTGAGGACGGATCTGATTTGGAAAGAATGGTTTCAGCAATTCTTTCACAAAATCAATGAAAAAGCTTATGTAAACAGATTTGGAAAGTATCACGAAAAAGTTTTAGATCTTCTTTTTTTGTTTTATTTATTTATTTATTTATGTATTTTAACTTACCAAAAAACAAAAAAGCTTCAGATCTACTTTTGATTTTTTATTGTGTCTTGGTCCATCACTTTGAAGTTCAAGATCAGGAGGTGGGTTTGATGGAGGAGATGATGATGCCGGTGGTGGGTTTAATGGAGGAGATGATGACGCCGGCGGTTTGATGGAGGAGGTGATGATGCCGGCGGTGGGTTTGACAGAGGATGTGATGATGCCGGCGGTGGGTTTGACAGAGGATGTGATGATGCCGGCTATGGGTTTGATAGAGGTGATGATGCCGGCGGTGGGTTTGACAGAGGATGTGATGCTACCGACGATTTGTTTGATGGAGGAGATGGTGATGCGTGGGTTTGTAATTTGTTAGGTTTTATTTTTAAATATTTTTTTAGTTTGTATTTTTCTAAAGTTGGAATGGAATGGTCATTCCTTTTGTGAAAAGGTGGAATGATTTTAATGGAATGGCCATTCTCTAAGAATGGTGGAGAATGACGATTCTAAGTTTTTAATTGGATACCAAACACAAGAATGGAATAAAAACCATTCCATTTCACTTTCTTTGCATTTCATTCCACCACACCAAACTAGGTCTAAATCTCTTTTAAAAGGAATCAGTGAAAGATGTGACAATTTTTTTTCAAAAAATCCCTAACTAAAAATACATATTATTCTTCTTTCCTATCAAATGGAGATCACCACTACTCCATTCCACCAAATTGTAGGTCACAACTAGAAGCTAATAAAGAGACTTGTTTAGTAATAATTAATTATTATTTTTTATTTTTGTTTTTTGCAAGACAATAATGTTAATAATTAGTGGTGAGGAAGGTGCAAAGGCTCGAAGTCAAGTACCAAGATCAACGGCGGGATCAATCCTACCGCTTGCACTAGGAAGATGTTCGCTTAGGAATAACTAATTGCGAAAAGAGGGCACAATCAACGCCCATGGTTATAAAGCCATTGGGACCTAATCCACCGTGAATGTGCAGAGCCCTCAGGCTGGGGCCCAACGAGCCATTGCACAATAGTGTGTTCAAATATCAACATGGTGGAAGAGTTTTACCTTTTTTTGGTAACTGGTGCAAATGAAAATTTATTTTAAGATTTTAACAAAATTATTTTGAAAAAAGTAGTGATACCCACATTGAATTGCATAATCAAATAATTTTTAATCGGTTATTTATACCAAATATAACTAAGTGAAGGGTTCCACTTCCTTATTTGTTGCATAATTGACCAATTAAAAAAAAATAATTCTAGCCATTCACTACAACTATTTGATACGAGAGTCATTTTCCTTTTGAGAATTACCAACAGAGCTTTTGACTGAAGTTGAATTTGTAATTTTTAAAATTATCTTTTTAGTAAAGGTTGATTATTTTAGGTAACTTTTTTTTTATTACACAATTTCGTCCTTTTTTATTTTTATTTTTATAAAGACAATTACATTCATTCTTTAATAAAATTGCTATTATCAAATATGGTAACATTCTTTTAAAGGGTACTCCTATTATGATAAATTTAGCAATATAAGTATATTTTTAAAAAAAAAAATTATTAGCAAATAAATTTAAAAATATTTAAATTGTGAATTTTTTTTATTACTGTGAAGGCCTTTGTAATCCAGTGGTTATGTTGTTTCCCATTGTACTTGGAAGTAGGGGCGTAACTTAGTGTGGGCTAACCTGAGCTATAACCTAGGTCCAAAAAAAAAAAAAAAAAAAAAAATTAGTACTACTATTTTTTATCAGTCATAGTCCAACCCAATCAGTCATAGCTTAGCCCATGCCCAAGCTCAATCCAGAATAAAGCAAAAAAACAAATGGGCCAGCCCAGCAATGAGCAAACCAAAGTTACAAAGTACAAGCCCATCTATCTGAAAACCTAACTATTATGGTGTTGGAACATTCCCATTTGCCTACCTTCCCAAAAAAAAAAAAAAAAAAAAAAGATACCCATCTGGCTCTGGGTCATCTCTCTGAAAACGCAGGAGCCGCAGGAACATTCCCATCTGCCTCTGGGTCAGCTCTATGAAAATGCTTCACAGCCTAGCAAACCAACGATTGAAGCCTCGAAGGTACATAGATAATTCCATTTAATTGTTTTATTTTCACTGCTTTGCCTCTGTGAATATGTGATGATCCTCAGTGTATGTTTTTGTTTTTGGATATTGCCTTTTGATATGTAAACAACAAATTGATTGGATTAGTGTTGGAATTTGGAAATTAAGGAAGAACCTTAACTTAGTTCTTACTTCAGCTTTTACCCCCCAAAGAAATTATACCCATCCAGATCAATTTTTTATTAATTTGATCAGAGTTGCCTCATGGTCCTTTGCGGAAATGCATCGCCATTCTCTCCTCTAGTCCAATTAATTCCTCTTCTAGTGACTTTCAACTAAGAGATTGGTTTAAAATTCATAAATCATCCTTATTTACAATGAATTATGTGAAGACTTTCTTGAATGTTTCCATTAAAGATTGATTTATTAATTTTTTTTTTTTTTTTTTTTTTTTTTTTTTTTTTTTTTCATACCATGTTCGTGAATGTTTCCACTAAAGATTGTTTTATTTATTTATGTTGGAGTTGGGTTTTTTTTTAAGATTTTTTTTTTTTTTTTTTAATTCTCACAGTAAATACTAAACTAGCTCTTAAGTCTTAAATATATAATCCCTATCTATAGGCAAAGGATCCCGAAAAAAACTAGCAGAATGAGTTTGGATAACTTTTAACCATCATGTGAAAATAAATAAATAAACAAATAATTAAGCAATCAAATCAAAGAAAATCAGACTCGAAAACTCACTTATCTAAATATTTTATATTCTTATATGGCTCCTTGAACGATAGGGTGAGACAGAGTCAAAGTTCAGTGTACATTGTTTCAAATATAGTGGATTGGTTTACTTTAGATTACACCGTCCACAAATTTTTTGCAGCGTAAACAGTTGACGTATTTTATCAACTGGGGTTTCCTCGTTAAAAATCCTGGTGTCATCTCTAACTCTTTACTTTGCTTTATTTTATCCTGCATGAGATTAATTTATTAATTGTTAAAATAAGTAAAGTTAGAAAGACACAAATCTATTTCTAAAAATACAAAACTTTCTAAATATTTCACTACGTACAACTCACAATACCAAACTTGTCCCAACTCACAATAATTATAGAATAACCGTCTCATAACCTTAAACATCAATATAGGCATTAAAACAATTCATTCCAAAATAGCAACATGGTTCATGTTTGCTTTAATGGCAATTACAATACTTAAATTTACATCAAAATAATACCAAAAGAATATGCTTACAAGTTAGGGCTCATAATACCACAATTACAATACTTTACAAAAGAATACTAGAGCCTAAGCATTGAATTACAAAAGTCTACAAAATGTACCAATTAACCTTAACTAGGCTTGTGAGGGTCCATCGTTAATTACTTCTTTGCCAAAATGATAATAAAAGGGTGAGCACAACGGCTCAGTAGGAGGTGCCTAAAACATACTCCTTAATGATTCCGTGAGTCACACACAAATCATAGAATATAGAAAAGAGGGTCATGCTTATATTAGGAAAAATAGTCATCATCACACAATCCAAGTCCTATGAATGCAATGAGAGGCAATGCCAATGTCACTTCCCATTTCCAAAATCATTTCCAACACAATATTCGTTAAACCGTTAATGTTATCCGACCCGAGGTGACTCCCTAGCGCCACAAGAGAAGGATTGGCTAACCTTGACGTACCTAAGTTAAATCCTTAGCGTCATTTGAGACCTAGGTAACTCAACCACGCGTAAGGCAGTCTTCCTACATCCCCTCTAGGTTCCATTAATGCCACGGATACAAGGTGATTCTTAACCGTTCGATTTTCGCAAACATTCTTTCAAAATCCTTCCCAAATCAATTTCTCTTTTAAAAAAATAATTTCCAAACTCACCCAATGCCAATGATATCAGTGGCGGAGGCAGCATGTGCCCACTATAATTTTTTATTTATTTTTATACATATATTTGTAAAAAATGATAGAATCCCCCCCCCCTCCTGAAATTATTAAAATGATCTCTTTATTCCTGAATCTACTAATTTTTATTATATTTTATTTTATGCGTATAATTTGTAAATATTTATAAAATACCCTCATAAAATTTATAAATTATCCCCATAAAATTATCTATTTCTAAAAACGTCTTTAATTCTTTATTCCTTTTCCTTCTTATTCTTCAAATTTCTTTTTGCCATCTTAAAAAACTTTTGCATTCTCTTTCTACAATTAAAATCTATTTTTTCCTTCAAAATTCTCTCATATTTTTTTCTTTTTATTTTATTTTCTTCTTAAATTTTTTTTTTTTTTCTTAAAAATTTATTTTTTCTTGCACTCATGCATAATTTATGTGCAATAACCCTTCTTTTTCTTTTTTTAATCTTCTCATGCATTTTTTATTCACTTATTCTAATGCACTGTTGTTACACTATTATATTTTCAACATGCTTGAAAAAAAAATATTTTTTCAATGTTAACATGCTCCCCCTGAGCCAAATTCCTGACTCTGCCCTTGAATGATATGAACGTGTCATGCATTGTACCATCATGTCAACATAAGGTTCACAATTCATTATGTCATACTCACATGCTTAGGCAACAAGTTGATAGTATAATTCCAACACAACCAAATTCAAAATCATGACATTTTAAACATATATGTAAATCATAAAGCAATGTCAATAAATCACATAATCTCTCAATAATTCATATAAGCATAAATTCAACGCATTTTGGCACATAGGGCATATATATACTACCATTACCATCACTATCATGCTTCATAATTGACATTTATATAAGTAAGGCATTATTACAAGAAATTGATTCACAAAAATTAAAGATAATGGGTTTTAGAAACACTTACCTCAAGAAGATGAGAAAAGCCCAAAAAATTCCCCCGAAATTCGAAAATCGAAAGTCACCTAATTGAAATTTTACTCCGATCAAATCGTAGCCCTCGTCGAGCTCTTTAATTTTGCTTTCAATGTCAAGTTCAATTCAACAAGAAAGAAGGTGAAATTGGAGCTTGAAAGTGCAAGTTTAGAGAGAGAGAATTTTAGAAAGAGAAGGATTTTCCACGGTTGAAGAAGAAGAAATGGCCCCAAATTTTTTGAAAATATGACATATATGCAATGGTTTAGTCAACGCAGGTCCTAGTTGACCCTAGAAATGTCAATAACGTCTTTTCATGCCTATACACATAATAATCATGCTACCAATGTGCAATTAAGCATACAACCACATAATTATGCTCCAAATAATAATTTATAAAGAGCAATGAACCCGAAAAATAATCTCGAGTACGAAAAATTCGGGTAAGGGACCCACCCGGGACCTCCTAGCCCGAAAATTTGAAAAATGGAGAAAGGACTAGAAATGCATTTGTAAGAGTTCTAAACTAAAAGAAATGCCCCAAACCTCACTTGGAACCTCGTGACACGCTAACCGGTGCGTGCCACACAAAACGAGACGATAAATAAAATAATCCAAAAAATGAAAAATTATTTGTTCTGTTTTTATAGGAATAAGCAAACTTACTTCAAGGTTTAAACTCTACGTTCTTGAAACTTTATGTTCATTTTGTATAAATCATTGCACAATAAGGAAATTAATTGAAATTACTTCATTTTCCTTATTTTTTAAGCTTTACCCATATTTATATTCTTTAGAAGTTACTCAAAAATATAGTTTTTGAAGTTTTAAATTTGGATTTTAAATGCTTAAAGTGTTGGAGAACCTTTTATGAGTTTTGCTTATAAAATTATGATGTCTTTGGCATTTTAACATTTTAGATACTATGCAATTTTAGCGGAGAAATTTGTTCTGTGATTTTTTATTTTTTGAGTTGAGTAGCAACACAAATTTAGAAACACTAGTTATTGGAAAGAAGTGATATAGATAAATAGAGCATATCCATGCAATCAGGTAATGAAAAATTTCAAATTTATTATTTCTAGATTTGGTCTGATTGGTACTATCTGAAGAGCGAGTATGAAGAGCCGAGGTCTGAGTTTGGATCTGGGCATAGGCGGAGGCTGGAGTTCTTGATCTCTTAGATTATGTGGAGGAGTTCGTTGATGGTGGAGGTGAGCTAATCGGTGGTGGACTTGCACCATCATTATCAACTTCCACCATTACCATCCCTCTCTTCGGCCCGGTTCTCATCAATCTCAGTTTCCAAGACCTCGCCGCGGATATTAACAAGCGGGAAACCATCAAATGATGAATTGCCGTTGCTCTTTGTTGCTGTATATCAGTATATGTGTATGTAATGTGTATATAATTGTCTGTGACTAGATAAAAGGGTGTTTTTGTCTTTTCCATTCAACTCTAAATTTTTTATAAATATTAGTAATATATAATTGATTAGTAAAATTGTAAAATTACACAATTCCATTAGTAAAGTAAAACAACCATTATAGTAAAGGGAGGTAGGTGGAATATGGAAACCTAGACGGGGTGTAAGTAGGATATGGTCAAAGGTCAAGGGGGTGTAGGTGAAATTAACCCTAAAACTAATTATTATAATGTGTGTCAAACACATAGTATGAATTTTATTTACAAAATTTTTTTTGACTACCCTACTACATAAAAACATTTTATTTTTTTATTTTCACACTTAATACCAAACTAGCTTTTTAGTCTTAAATATATAATCCCTAACTATATGCAAAGGATCCAGAAAAAAACTAGCAGAATGAGTTTGGATAACTTTTAGCCATCATGTGAAAATAAATAATTAAGCAATCAAATCAAAGAAAATCAGACTCCAATTAAACTCACTTATCTAGATATTTTATATTCTTATATGGCCCCCTTGAACGATAAGGTGTAAAACAGAATTAAAGTTCAGTGTACTTTATTTCAAACATAGTGAATCGGTTTACTTTGAACTGCACAGTCTACAAGTTTTTTCCTACGCAAACAGTTGACGTATTTTATCAATTGGGATTTCCTCGCTAAAAATCCTGGTGTCATCTCTAACTCTTTACTTTGCTTTATTTTATATTGCATGAGATTAATTTATTAATTGCTAAAATAAGTAAAGTTAGAAAGACACAGATCTGTTTCTAAAAATACAAAACTTTCTAAATATTCTCCTGTGTACAATTCACAATACCAAAGTTTTCCCAACTCACAATAATTATAGAATAACTGTCCCATAACCTTAAACATCAATATAGGCATTAAAACAATTCATTCCCATTTAATTCATTCCAAAGTAGCAACATGGTTCATGCTTGCTTTAATGGCTATTACAATACTTAAATTTATATCAAAATAATGCCAAAAGGATATGGTTACAAGTTAGAGCTCATAATGCCACAATTACAATGCTTTACAAAAGAATACTAGAACCTAAGTATTGAATTACAAAAGTCTACAAAATGCACCAATTAACCATAACTAGGCTTGTGAGGGTCCATTGTCAATTACTTCTTTGCCAAAATGATAATAAAGGGGTGAACACAACAGCTCAGTAGGAGGTGCCTAAAATGCACTCCTTAATAATTCCGTTAATCACACACAAGTCATAGAATATATAAAAGAGGGTCATGCTTATTTTGGGGAAAATAGTCATCATCACACAATCCAAGTCCCGTGCATGTAATAAGATGCAATGCCAATGTCACTCTCCATTTTCCAAAATTCTTTCCAACATAATAATCATTAAACCGCTAATGTTACCCGGCTTGAGGTGACTCCCCGGCGCCACGAGAGAAGGAGTAGCTAACATTGACATAAGTTATCTCCTTAGCATCATTTGGGGTCTAAGTAACTCAACCACGCGTAAGGCAGTCTTCCTATATCCCCTCTAGGTTCCATTAACGTCACGGACACAACGTGACTCCTTGCCGTTCGGTTTTCGCAAACGTTATTTCAAAATCCTTCTCAAATCAATTTCTCTTTTAAAAAATAATTTCCATACTTACCCAATGCCAATGATATGAACGTGTCATGCATTGTACCATCATGTTAACATAAGGTTCACAATTCACTATGTCATACTCATATGCTTAGGCAACAAGTTGATAATATAATTCCAACCAGGGGCAGAGCTAGGATTGCAAAATGAGTAGGGCTAAAAATATGAAAATTTAAAGGAGTCACCGGCATCTTGGAATTTTTGAAGGAGGCTCTTGTTGCTGCTCATTAGAGCTTGTAGTCTTAGGCCGAGTACTCGTACTTGTAGAAGTTGCCCCAATCTTTAGTTTATCATCTTTCCGTTTATAAAATGAAAACAAATTTTTCATCTTGAGGGTGAAAAATTCCTACCATGTAGTGCTTCAACAAACAAAAATAAAGGGCATGACTAATTGCCTATCACCTATAGAGGCTAGCAGGAAAAAGAAAAAAAAAATTTAGAGATCTTTTAGATTTGAATGCAACCAAACCCAACTCCAAGATAAATAAATAAATAAAATAATCTTTAATGGAAACATTCATGAACATGGTATGAAAAAAAAAAAAAAAAAAATTAATAAATAAATCTTTAATGGAAACATTCAAGAAAGTCTTCACATAATTCATTGTAAATAAGGATGATTTATGAATTTTAAACCAATCTCTTAGTTGAAAGTCACTAAAAGATGAATTAATTGGCCTAGAGGAGAGAATGGCGACGCATTTCCGCAAGGGACCATGAGGTAGCTCTGATCAAATTAATAAAAAATTGATCTTTCTTAGAGATGAGTATAATTTATTTGGGGGGTAAAAGCTTAAGTAAGAACTAAGATAAGGTTCTTCCTTAATTTCCTAATTCCAACAGTAATCCAATCAATTTGTTGTTTGCATATCAAAAGGCAATATCCAAAAACAAAAACATACATTGATGATCATCACATATTCACAGAGGCAAAGCAGTGAAAATAAAATAAGTAAATGGAATTATCTATGTACCTTCGAGGCTTCAATCGTTGGTTTGCTAGGCTGTGAAGGCTGTGAAGCATTTTCAGAGAGCTGACCCAGAGGCAGATGGGAATGTTCCTGCGGCTCCTACGTTTTCAGAGAGATGACCCATAGCTAGATGGGATTTTATTTTTTTTTTCGAAAGGTTGGCAGATGGGAATGTTCCAACACCATAATAGTTAGGTTTTCAGAGAGAGAGAGAGAGATGGGCTAGTACTTCGTAGCTTTGGTTTGCTAATTGCTGGGCTGGCCATTTGTTTTTTTGTTTTATTTTGGATTGGGCATGGGCATGGGCATGGGCATGGGCTGAGTTATGACTGATTGGGTTGGGCTATGGCTGATACAAAATAGTAGTACTAATTTTATTTTTATTTTTTTGGACCTCGGCTATAACCCAGGTTAGCCCACACTAAGTTACGCCCCTAATTCCAATACAACCAAATTCATAATCATGACATTATAATCATATACGTAAATCATAAAGCAATGTCAATAAATCACATAATCTCTCAATGATTCACATAAGCATAAAATTCAACACATTTTGGCACACATGGCATATATATACTACCATTACCATAACAAACATAATTATCATGCTTCGTAATTAACATGTATACAAGTAAGGCATTATTACAAGAAATTGATTCACAAAAATCAAAGATAAACCTCAAGAAGATAAGAAAAGCCCCAAAAATTACCCCAAATTTCAAAAATCCAAAGTCACCTAATTGAAATTCTACGTCGATCAAATCGTAGCTCTCGTCGAGCTCCTTAACTTTGCCTTCAATGGCAAAGTTCAATTCAAGAAGGAAGAAGGTGAAATTGGAGCTTGAAAGTGCAAGTTTAGAGAGAGAGAGAGAATTTTAGAGAGAGAAGGAGATCCCACAGTTGAAGAAGAAGAAATGGCCCCAAAAAATTTGAAAATATGACCTATATGCAATGGTTTAGTTAGCGCAAGTCCCAGTTGACCCTAGAAATGTCAATAATGCCTTTTCATGCCTATACACATAATAATCATGCTACTAATGTGCAATTAAGTATACAACCACATAATTATGCTCCAATAATAATATATGAGTGCAATGAATCCAAAAAATAATCCCGAGTACGAAAAATTCAGGTACGGGACCTACCTGAGACCTCCGGCCTGAAAATTTAAAAAATGGAAAAAGGACTAAAAATGCATTTGTAAGAGTTCTAAACTCAAAGAAATGTCCCAAATCTCACTCGGAACCTTCGTGGCACGTTAACCGGTGCGTGCCACACAAAACGAGAAGATAAAATAAAATAATCTGAAAAATGAAAAATGAAAAATTGAGAAACATTACATAAACAGCTCAAGTTCATCTGCTATTAGACTTACAAGTATGTGTTTATAATACACACACACACACACAATCTGTCTACAATGTGTGTTTTTAATTTGAATTGGCTTCATTTATCATATTATATATATATAGAGAGAGAGAGAGAGAGAAAGAGAGAGAGAGAGAGAGAGAGAGGTTTTTGCATGATGTAAAATTGTTGCCTAAGTCATATTGAATTGTTTCAGACAAAATTACCAAGCCAAAGGGGTCCTGGGAATGTATGGCCTTCCTGGCTTCCAAGAGGCCGTATCTTGTTGCCTTTTCTTTTTTCTTTTTTTTTTTGGCTGATCCAAGAACCATTTTCACTCCTGTACAATTCTGGAAAAAAAGTTTACTTCTTTTGTGTTGTGCATAAAAGTTCAGGTGATATATAAAAGGTCTTTGCAATGCTAAAAAAATTCAAACAGAAAAAATGGCAGAATCAATGAATTGAAAACTAAATTTTTCTGAAAAAAAATTGATTTTCAAGCCGGGAAAACCAAAAATGCTATTTTTGCATATTTGTTTGAAAAAATAAAATAAAATAAGATAAGTTTTATTTTTGTTGTATTAATGAAATAAAATTAGAATTGGAAACACACAAAAATTAATAATTGAATACTTTAGTCATAATACCAATTAGCCGTGAGAAAAATTAATATTTTCAAACAAAGATGTAATTTGCAAAACTTTTTATAATAACAACGTCGCTCTAGAATTTTTTTTGGGTTTGAGTTACTTGAAAGCACATATCTGGGGTGACATCGAGCCGGCCTAACTCAATCCAACTTCATGTTGAGCTTGGGTTGGGGCTAGACTGGATTAGACCTGCTCAACTTACACCCATAGTCATCAGGGAGCAACCCTACCTCTTGCGTTAGGAAGACGTTCGGTTAGGAATAACTAATTCATAGTTATAAAGCCATTGGGGCCTAGGCCACCATGAATGTGCAGCGCCCTCAGTCTAGGGGCCCAACGAGCAATGCATGAGTCACCCCATTGCTCAATAGTCTGTTCAAATATCAACACGGTGGAAAAGTTTACCTCTTATTTGGTAACTGGTGCAAATGAAAATTTTTAAATATTATTTTAAGATTTTCACAAAATTATTTTGAGAATTACCATAATTGCGTTAAACCTTAATGGTTTTGTTAACAATAATTGCACCATTTTAGTCCCAATAGAGTGGAAGCTGAATTTATAACTTTTAAAATTGTCTTTTTAGTGGAGGTTCAATATTTTAGGTAACTTTTTTTTTTTAGTATATAATTTTGTTATTTTTTATTTTATAAAGACAATTACACCAATTCCTTAATAAAGTTACTATTATCAAATATGATAACATTCTATTAAAGAATATTATGATAAATTTAGCAATATAAGTATTTTTTTAAAAAATTTATTAACAAACAAATTTAAAAATAATTTAATTGTGAAAAGTTTTTATTATTGTGAAGGCTTTTGTAACCTAGTGCTTGTGTTATTTCCCACTGTAATTGAGAGCTCGACTTCATTACTCTAATTAATAAAAAATAACTAATAAAATTTATTATTATTATTATTATGTGTGCCAAATACATAGTATGCATTTTATTTACATAATTTTTTTTTTTACTACCCTACTACATAATTTTTTTTTATTTTTTTATTTTTTATTCTCACAATAATACCAAATAAGCTATTAAGTCTTAAATACATACTCCCCAACAATAGGCAAAAGATTTCGAAAAAACTAGCAGCAGGAGTTTGGATAACTTTTAGCCATCATGTGAATAATAAAAAATTAAGCAATCAAATCAAAGAAAATCAGCTTTCAAAAGTCACTTATCTAAATATTTTACATGGGCCCACTTATCTGATTATCTTACATGGGCCCTTGCACACATCGGGAAGACCAACACCACCATTATAAAAATAATAATTATATTCCAAACCCACAAATATATATATATATCTAAAACACAAATCCATATGTTTAATGGATGAAATTTTATTCTTTTAAACGCCACACTTCGACAAATATATAGAGATGTAAACATAAAACGAGAGAATTTATTTATTTTATTTTTATCTATAATGATAAGGATTAAGGAGTCCTTATTAGACACTGTTTGTTAATTGGAGTTATAAAAAATAATCAATTAATTTTTTATTTTATTTTATTATATGTTGTGGGTGTGCTTTCCAATATTCTCCACTTATATATATATATATATATAGGTGGGTGTGCTTTGGAGTTTGCTTTAATAGTTTCTAAAAACTGTTGGAAAGGAATTGGATTACTCGCGTAATTACTAATAAATGCGGATTGATATTAGAGGCTTAACCCACCAAACCAAACGCAGCTTTAGCTTTAATTTCTCCGCATTCCCGTAGCTAATTCTTCGCCGACAGATCCTGCGACCAATTGACAGACAGAATCGAAGATTCGAAGGTCTCCTTCAGTTCAGAGATTTCAGTCCAACGTTGGACCGCTGTGATCATCCTTTTCTCTCTCCTCTCTTTCTGTCTCTAGAGGTACTCTCTCTCTCTCTCTCTCTCTACTTTCATACATTGAGAGAGTCATATATTGATTTTATTTACTGAAGGTTTATTTGAAAAGGGTATATCTCAAAATCGCTTTTCTTTCATGGGTTTTAGTATAATGTATTGTCTATTTTTTGTTTTTCTCCAAATAGTGATTTTCAACATGAAATCTTAATATATGATTTTTTTATTTTTTATTTCGTGCTTTTATACAATGTATTATCTGTTTCTTCTTTTTCTCCAATGAGTGATTTTGAACATGAAATCTTCATATATGGGTGTGTGTGTGTTTTTTTTTATTTTTTATTTTTTTTAATTTTTTTTTATATGGGTTTTTAGTATTTCATGTATTGTCTGTTTTTCTTTTTCTCCAAATAGTGATTTTCAACATGAAATCTTAATATATGATTTTTTTTTTTCGTTCATGCGTTTATACAATGTATAATCTGTTTTTTCTTTTTCTCCAATGAGTGATTTTGAACATAAAATCTTAATATATGGTTTTTTTTTTTTTTTTTTTTTTTTTTTTTTTTGCAAAGAGTGATTTTGATCCTGGAATGAGTTTATTTATTTTTTATTTGTTTTGGGGTGGGTAGTAAATATTTTACACTGAACAACATTCTTGTTCAATCTGCGGTTTGGAATCTATTCTTCCTATAAGACACTTTATTCTGGCTATTATTTTATTATATGATTAAAGATAAAGTAAGATCATTGATACTCATATTACTGTTGAATTCATTGGATGATCAATCTCATTGTGGCTTTTAGTTGGCTGAAGTGAGGTCGTCTGTTCTCTGATATCAAATTTACTGCTATTTTGTTGCGAGAAACTTATTTTGTTTGTTTATTAATTATTTATATTTATTTTTCATATTATGATTGTTAGCATTGCTTAGGTTGTTGGGTTTTTGCTGATGAAATCGAATTACAGATCTCTAATTAATGTAGAAGTTGGAGCTGCATTATGGGTTCTGTTTGTTGTTGTTTTCGTGTTTCGGATGTTGAAGAAATTGGAAATTCAAACAGTATCAATAATGGAAATCACATTACTCCAAATTCCTTCTTTCAGAGCTTAATGAACAAGGTATGTCTACAGAGTCAATTCAATTATTCTATTTCAAGTAGTTTTATTTTTTCTGTATATGCTGTGTGTGTGTGTGTTTTTATTATATATATATATATATATATATATATATATATATGTATTATAAAAGCTCATTCGGAACAATCTGATCTCATTATTGTGGTTATAATACCGAACTTCATTGTTTTCTTCTTCTTCTTCACTAATATCCCTTTAAAACCAATCCATAACAAGATAGTATTGGTAATCTACAGAGGACTGTTGTTGCTTCGGGCCCATGTTGTCACTTTCTTAAGTTTTTGTTTTTCATTTTTCGGTTTGTTGGTGGGTATGAGTGGGTGATTATGTTTGGCCCTCGGAATTATATATATGCTTTCAATCACAGTGATGGACCCTAGTCTTTCATTATTAACAACTAGTATTATTTCTTCCGTTAATCAAGGCCTACACAACTCAACCAATGATAACCAATCAAAACTTTGAGAAATAATTCTTAATGAGGAGCTCTGAGATCAGTGATTTGCACATCTGAACTGTACGTATCGAGTGATGTTATGTGTGAATCTGATTAAGATCCTTCACATACCGTACTCAAAATTCATACATCACTTCATGTCCTTTATACACTAAACCTTTCGGTGAACTTAATTTTTTAACATATAAAGAAACGTCTCTAGTTATCCATGTTACTCACATTATAACAAATTTCCTTTGAGCTCAATTTTAAATGTATGTGTTGTGTGCTTGTATTGTTCCACTTTCTTTGTTTGCCGTTTGTTTCAAAAACACACATTTGTTTGCACACAAGTGCATGCGTGTGAAATGCATCTATTATCACTATCAATGCTTTCCTTTAGCAAAAGTAACTTATGAATCACTTTGTTTTTTTACCCTTTTGATTGAGCCAATTGTATTGAAATTTTGAATAGGTATAGTAATTATTAAAGAATATTGGAAAGCCCAATACAAGAACCACTTTAACTCCTTTAATGAGAATATTATTAAACTCTACTTTAACTCCTTTAATATAGTTTACCTTGTAAGATTGAGTCATATTTATATTCACAAAGATTTTACTCTGCTCTTGAACAACTGCTATGCTTTTGTAAATAAAATAACTTTATTACTAGCTACACATTTCGTTTCCAGAAACTGGAACTTTTTACTTCTCTCTCTCCTTTTTTTTTTTTTTTAATATTTGTAATTTATTTTTTGCCTTTTTGGGTTTATAAGTACGACACAATCATGTCCGGACTGAATTTGACCCTGCAACTCCTCTTATGAAGTGGCTTGAGAATCAGCTACTCCTCATGCCAGAAAGCCGGTGATCAGAAAATGAAAAGTTTGTCAGTGTCCGGAAAATCTTGTTGATAATCTGGAGCATCTGGCTAGTTTTATAACATCTGTCAATCTAAATTATACATGTCTTGAATAAACTGGTCTTTAAGTTTTTATTTATTGTTTAAAATATAATTTAAATTGGAGAGGAATTGAACTTCAAGTACTTGTGTACGTGGTGGCTTTACTCCCCTTTCACATTTGTCTACAGTATGGAGAACTACTTGGCAGACGGGAAACTCATACTGTTACTACATCTATTCAAGAGGCAGCTTCTTCAAATTCTACCGTGCCATCCAACAATACACAATCTGACACTAATAGGTCTCGTGGTAGACATTTGCCAAATAATGTGAATGCCCAAAATTCCCAATTGCAACGGGTTGGGCTGGTCCCGAGACATGGAAAACACACAGGTCATTCCCACTCAGAGGCAGAACCAATTAGAAGAAGCAATGTTCAAATAAAACCAAAAACGTTAAGTGGAGGAGACAAACCGAGTGGTTTTTATAATGAACATGAATCAAAAGAATGCCATTCTGAGTCCTCTACTACGAAGGTGTTGTCAGCGAATGAGGAAGGCGGATTTGGGCATGCCTATGCTTCATCAGAGGACGAGGATGTCTGTCCTACATGTCTTGAAGGTAATTTTCTTTTCTTTTTTATTTTTCATAAAAAAGTAGTTTCCTATTTTCATTGTTCAGCAATGGCAATTATTAGGCACATTTTCCAAATGCCTTCCAACTAAATTTCAGATATAGTTGCTACATTGTTATATATTCTAAGTAATTTACTCTGCTCCGTATTAATTTGTCAATTCTCTTAATATTCCTCCGGCAGAATATACTCCAGAAAATCCGAAGATAAATACACAATGTTCTCACCATTTTCACCTTGGTTGTATCTACGAGTGGATGGAGAGAAGCGAACTCTGTCCAGTTTGTGCAAAGGTAAATTGTTTCTTCTTGCTTTGTTAATTTGTTCTGACTAATTTTCCTGTATAATTTAATAGATTCTTGTTTGTATAAGATACATCATAAGATGCTTGCTTCAGGCACACATTTACGTCTTGTCCTTGTATATCTCGAAGTTAACCAATTTGATATAAGTAAAGGAGAGGTAATAAAAGTTAGTTATATAAAAACAAATTAAGGTTTTGGGTTTGATGTCAGTCTTGCTTTGAAACTATGAAACCTAGATAAAGTGGACTTGAATTTGAGGAATGAATAGGTGATGCGCCCGCGGCTTCTTGTGTGCGTCAAATCCCCCTGAATTCTGAATGACATTCGGTGCATTTATTGTGCTGTGATGCAGTCATGCTACACATTACACAATTTTAATGTTGGAAGGGATGATCTATAATTGCATATAGTTTTGATCATTTGATCTTTAATTGCATTCATTGATGTAATATTAATGCGGATGGCAATAAGGCAGTCCCCCTACTGTGAGACACATGGTTTCCAACGGTTTTCCTTTATGAATAAACAGCTTTTGAGAAATAAAATAGAGTAGGCAACCGTGGTAAGAATTGTAGGGTTAGTGGATTACTATTGATGTTTTTTGTCATCTTTTAGTTGAAAGAGGAGTTTTTTGTTCTTCTTTTCATTGATAATAGTAAAGAATTAAACCTTTGACCCTGCTCCTCTCTTTTAGATGCCATGTGAACACTATTAACACTTCCCTTCCTCCCTTATTGAGTAGTAACAACGGTATAATATTCTCTCAAAACTACGTAGTCCATGTCAAAAACTAATTGATCTAAAAGCTTAAACTTTTAGGGAATGTACTTAAGTATTGTAGATCAAGCACATATAATTATAATACATAGATAATGGTGTTTGAGTCCAGCACCTTGACTGCATTGTTTAGAGAGAGGGTGTAACACAAGTGTTATGGCCAGGCATATGTATTATAAGCAGGTGGTGATATTTGAGCTATATATCCTAGTTCGCCACATATGCAGGGCTTTAACCTGATCTTGTTCCGTGCTGTGAGATGTCTATACAAGCAGTAGGGAAAGAGAAAGAGAGGGAAGAAGAGCGGGACAGATTGGGGAAACAAGCACATAGAGGTGTTGACCATTTATTGAATCATATGTTCTGATATATTATTATTATTAATTTAGGTGGTAGTTTGATATACAAAAGTGGTTACATGACAAGACTCAAGACACCTGGAATGATTATTCGTTGTGCTTCATGATTCTGCACGTGCACTTGCCTTTTTAGATTTAAATATAAGTTCTTGAACATTTAAGTTAATTATGCTGCATGTAGGTTTTATTTATTTATTTCTTAATATTAAGGGTGCACGAGCTTCAAATTAAGAAGCTAGGTTGCATGTAGGGTCAGATCAATCTGAAATGTGTGACCCTCTTCCCTATGATACATTGTCATTAATTTTCCTTTGTGTAATGCCTGTTAGGTTTTCTGAAACAATATCTTTATTTTCTTTCTCTCTTTCCTCTTATTTGTAGTTTTATGCCGTCTAAAATAACTGCATATCGACTGTCTCATTTCTGGGTGGCTGAACGGTCTTACTCATAGTTTGAATGGAAAGTTTTCCATTATGTCAAAAGTTTATAAATTGCAAATTGGGGTAGATAGTTATGAGATACAAAGTCTGATATATATATATATATATAAATAAATAAAGAGAAAGAGAAAGAGAAAGAGAAAACTGTCACACTTTTTATTACTTAAATTTGGATATACATGCCCGAGATTTTCGAATAAAATTGAACTACAAAATGGGGTGTCTATGCCCGTTAGGAGCAAACACAGTGTATGGCATTACAAAAGGCTAATGCAACTATTCTTGTCAATTATGCAATGATTACTAGATGATTTAGTTATTGTGTTTTCATTTAACATATTTTTTGAATACTTCACACCGTATTTGACTGTCTATGGATTGCTTTTATAGTTGATGGTGTTTGCTGAAACAACTTGATCTCAAGCTGCCATTTGCACGAGTAAAGACTGAAAACCGGACACACAAAAGGAAAAGAAACAATGAGATTGTGAATAACCCATATTGAGGTCAGATTGGATGTGGAAGAGGTTTTGGATTAACAAAAGGTAGGTAAATGTTTTTGGTGGACTACTCTGTCATGTCAGATCCTTTTGAGGATAATTTTATTTGTTTTGCTACATTTTTTGATTCATGTAAAAAGGATATTGAATTGGCCGAACAAATTCCTAACAGTTAAATGGAGAATGATTTCTGCTTCCTCCAAAATTTCAGTATGTTGTTACGTCTTCTTTTCTTGCCTTTTGATTCATCAGCACTTGTGGTTTGTTTCATTGAACTGTTAATCAAGTAAGTTGAAATAATATACACAAGCAAGATGCTAGTACATCAATGCAAAACCGAAAACATCGACGCAAAACCTAAAAGCAGTTTCCAAAGGCCTCCGGGAATGGTTTTTATTCAATGCCTGCAATCCTCCCTTTGAAACCTTTTATATGACACATTTTCAATTTTAAATGTTTCACTATTAGATGCAGGTATTTACAGAATTACCATTAGAAGCAAGAACTATAACTAGAGCATAGAATATAGTCTTTAGAGTTGCAAACTTTCACATACATCAATACAAACACACAACACACTTCCAAAGTTCATTATTTTACAGGTAGAGTCTACCCTTCTACATGAAGCTTAACAGGGAGCAAACCTATAACACACTTATACAGATCACTTTCGCTTGGAGAAGTAATCTGTTAAATCATAATAGAGGTGGTTAAAAGAGAATAAGAATCAATGGGAATATCTTATTTCTCTTTACACCATTATATATATGCATCCATATTCACATAAAAATCAAAATTTTTAGAACCAGCCAGAAGTCTTCTTCCAGTCATTTATGTGGTGAAGCATCCAAGGTTGAGTGAATATATTGGTTCAAGACTCAGATTGAGTTCGTTCCTCATTTCTGGAGCTTTGCCCTGGTAAGTGTCACTGCGTTACAAGACACACAACGTCAAGGGATTGACAAAATAACTGCAGGGCTGTGAACATCGGCCGACCCTTTGTAGTCCAAAACCAAAGCCTCCATGAAATTATAGTTTCATACTTTACTATAACACTATGAAAGCGTATCCATTGCACGCCAATTGTCCATGCTCTACTATACTGTTGTATCAATCCTACGAAGTTTCTAGGTTAATGTTTCTCGTATACTTTAGAAGCTACGTATATACTGTAGTTTTTTCTTTTTCAACCCCTTCCTAGTTCAATATCCAGCTGAAACATGATAATTTGATTCATCAAATGAAAACTTCCAAAAACATGTTTCTTTAGGCGCACACAAGAGAATTTAAGTGGTTCTGGTGATAGGGATATTGCACTATATGTGTTGGTTATATGACATACATCTATATCGATTAGTTGCATGACATGAGAAAGATTATTACCTCATGTTTAGGCAGGGAAGTGATTGTGGTAATGTGAATGAAGATGAATTAGGGCCATAGCTTGGCTGCTCCCATTGAACCTGCAGCTCGGTAGACTTCTCCTTCTCCTTCTCCTTGATCTATGTGCAAATTGAAAATAGTTGTTAACTACTGAATCAACATCATATTTCAATGGATTCACAATAACACAGATACGCTAATAAATCCTTAAGTTCATAACTTCTTTTTTGTTTATTGGAATGGAAGAACAAAAGACTCTTGTTTGAATTTGCATGCAGGGTGGCTCACCTTCTTTGCTAGCGTGTTATTTTGCTCCTGTATTGCCTTCTCCTGTCACAGACGACGATGAGAGATGAGATTATGTGAACAAATGCTAGTACTATGGATCTTTTTTCAACTGTTTTCTTGCTAGGATCACTATAGAGCTAGTACATGAGCTGAAACTGTTTCCTTTCTTTGCATATGTACCCATAGTTGGAATAGATCGATAAAATGACAATCCACAGGCATGATTTATAGACTTATTTTCTAGAATGGATCATCGTGTTCAAAATTTCAACTGGAACAGAAAGAAGATGATGGATAGGGTATTTCCCTTCGCGTGTAGCTTTTCTTGTCAAATAGGACATTTTCTACAGCTTAAACTGATAGAAAGGTGTATAACTTATTTATTGAATGCAGACTGAATTGTGAAGACTATCCTCATACCACAACATCTGTGTTAGAATAACTATGAGGTTCTCATAATAGTCTTTGTCAAAAGCATGCATTTCAAGTAATTAGTGCCAAAAGACCTCACCTTCTTTTGGAGCTGAGAGATGGACTCGTACATGAGCTGGTTCTGCAAAAGAAGATTTTCCCAAAATGTTATTAACCAAAGCTTGCTTATGGTAAACTAGCTGTAATATATATATATATATATATATATATATATATTTCAAAAATGATATTAACATAGCATACTTTTCCTGATCGAATGCGCTTAAGAGCAGTATCAATCTGTTGCTCCAAATTTTGGAGCTCCTTAAGACTTAAAGAGTCCAGATCCTCACCCATATAGTGCCTAAAGATTATAAGAAAATCTGAAAGTTAAACAAACAAAGCGGAAAAGGCAAGTGGCCTCCAAAATTTCCATCCATTCATGTACACTTAAGTATATAAACACATATTTTTATTTGTATCCACGATAGCGGTGTCGGGTCTCTTTATAAGCTAGAATTCGCTTTTGGGGAGTGATTTTAAGGGAATTCAAACTCCCGACCTCCTAGATGTGTCTTGTCATTAGACTATCCCTTTGATTTATACGCGCGCACGCGCGCGCGCACACACACAGATATATATATATATATATATGTATTTTTTTCCATGACACAATGTGACCTGGTTCTTACCTGTGATTTTTTTCCAAAAGCTCGATCCTGGCCTTAAGTTTGACATGTTCCAGGGACCAATTTTCCTACAGAAAATAGCCATTTTGAATACAGCCTCCAAAGGATTAATTCAAACACTTCCATTACCAAATGTATTTAGAGTAATGCTATCAAGAGAGCAGTGATTGTATGGTATCACACACTAATTAAATACTGACATATAAATAGGAAAACATCTATTTTGTTAGGTTCTATAACTGTGTGTCAGTATATAATTAGTCGGTCCCGGAATAACTAAGTTTTTCTCCGTCAAGAAAGCTTTCTAATAACGAGTAATAAATTCTATTCATTTAACCACCGAATTAACATACTTTTAAAAGATTCATGAAAAGTCAAATGATTCACTTAATATACTTAATATATCTTTCAATCAATAGTTAAATGTGAAAAGCTCGTGGCTCTTCCAAATGCAGTCATGTTTTTTTCCTTCAAAACTCTCAATTTTAGTGTATCAAGGCAAATTGATTGCTTCCATGACTATGTATTGTGCGGAATATCACGCTTAACTATCCCGAAAGTTTTATATACTTTCTTCTTGTCATGAAGGAGCTTCTAAGATCATTAATCACGTAGTTATCACCAATTTCAAAAGCATTAATTGGCACTGCAATGATAAAATTAATGGAGACAATTTATTAATTAAATGACTATTAGTTGGCAGAGTGACAGAAGGGCATACAGGTGATTCAGGATCATAAACTGTTTGCTGCCTTTCTGCATACGAGTATCTTTCATATCGCTCAAGGATCTTCTCCATGCTGGTGTACCAAAAAAAAAAAAAATTGTTAAATTTACTATACATAGTTTGCAATTCCTTATATGTAAAACTTTAATCAATGCTTTACCTATATATATATATATATATATATATATATATATATATATATATATATATATAACTTTAAGCAATGCAGTATGCAAATGAAGAACTTGGTTTAAGTGTGCAATAGCTTGTGATATCTTTCTAATTATGTTGTTTAAAAATTAAAAATTTACTTTCATTTTGAGGCATGGCATCTGGAAATTAAAAGCAAGTTCAAAGGGGGGAAAAAAAAAACAAAGAAAGAAAAAAAAGAACCTGCATAAAGAATTGTACCACTACAGGAAAGATAAATAAATTTTATTTACCTAAAAAAAGGAACGATCATTTTGTAAGGACATCGATCATGCTCAAATACACTTAGAAGGTAACCAACCCTAGTGATCAAATATCAAAGGGCCAAAAGGCCCCAGCAGTATAATCTCCCTATTTTCAAAGAGGAGGGCAGAAGTTTGAGTCTGGACGTGGGTAAAAGGGTGTGTGTTATTTTTTACCATTTGAAGAGGAGAAGAAGAAAAAAAAAAAAAAAAAAAAACCCTAGTGATCAAATCTGTCTCTTAATGCCCCTATTCCCTTCAAATTTGGTCTTCCTTCCAAAACATATGTTGTTTCCACATGCCTCCTAGTTCTTGGGATTCCTTTGTTGAGTGGTCTTTAATTTACTGGTCTAATTCCTACCCTTCTATGGGGCCAAAAATCTCCCCTTCCAATTAAGACAAGATACATCAGCACATAAGGGGACCACCACAAACACTGAGACTATTCAACCTTCAAACTGAGCCTCTACAAGAAGCTTGGGCCGGGCCCGATTAACTAAGCATAATGGGCTGAACTCATTAAGAAGGCCTGAGATGATGAGACCCCAAGCCCAATTATGAATATATTACGAAGCTTTTTTTTAGTACCAGTTCTATTAGAAGAAGGATTATAATTTATTAAAACCAAATAATATAAATCCTTATTATAAGGACAGTATAATGTGATTCAGATTTTGAAGGGACAAGTAATGCGAGTCCTTAGGACTCGACGAGGGTTTAGGACCCTCAATAATGGGGAGATAGAGAAAAAAGGGCAAAGCCCCCAAAAAAGAGATCCAATTGCCATCGCCAAAACTACGTTCTGACCTAATTCTCACGCTCTATGAGGTGGGATACGTAGGCAATCTAGGTAATCATAGGTTCAGTCATATTATCAAAATACCACCTCATCTCTATACAATTTCTCTAGTTCGTTATTTTTTCTCTGTTATTATTTTGGGTGTAGTAATTACAGAGATTTCGTTGACTTGTCAAAGTCGAACGAAATATTTTTGCACCTACACCTTCCTATCTTGTAATTTGACATTTGCAACCTCAGTTTACTACATCATCTTAGTGAACACTTCCTCCCCTCCTCAAGCCGTGATAGATTCCATTTCAGATTCGATAAGGCTTAGGCTAAGTTCAATCACTATGAAGGATAATATATCTGGCAGGCTTATTGCTTCTACGTGAGAGCTTTCCAATGCCTTCATCCGCCTTTCAAGAAAACACCCTGACGTGCAACAGTCTTCAGTTGGTCTGAAGTTAGGCTCGTAGCTTCTAGGTCTACCTTTTTTTTATTTTTATCTTTTTTTTTTTTTTTTTTTAGTTAAAAGGTAAGCTTGTATATAGAATAAAGGGTAGAATGTACATGAAGTGCTACAATGCGCACCAAAAGCAAGTGCTACAATGAGCAACAAAAGCAAAAGCAACAACCTACAACCAACAAAGCTATAACAAAACTACTAAGGGTTAAGTATACAAGAATGAATACAAGAAACTGCATCAGCACCAAATGATTCAGCACCAGCAACAAGCCAACATCAATTACTAGAAGATCAGCCATAAGTCTCCACCAGAGATAGAACAACCTTTGAAGTAAAGGATTTGCAGATCATTATAAGACACTACTTGACTGAGGTCTGAGCCGCATCTCAGAATAAAAGAAGCAAGTCTTGCTCTCACACTTGATTTATTCTAGGTTTACTATTGTTTGGGTTGGTTCTCCTCATTTTTAGGGTTCCTCCCTCTTGGTTGTATATTTATCTTTTTTCTATTTTACTTGCATTACGAAAAACAAAGAAAAAGAGGAATGAAAATTTGAGAAAGGGAGGTAGAGTGATACAACGAAAGACATAGATGATGAATGAACGAAAGAACAACTTTAAATTTACAAATTTAAGAACACGTTGAAATCTGGTATATTATTGATAATTGAATGCATTAGTCATTTTGCTATATGCACGTAAATGTACTTATAATAAAAGGACCCTAACACCATAAGGAAACTAATAACATAAGTTTTAAAAATAAATCCAAAATTCAATTATCTTAAAATTATGAAAAAATAAAATAAGAAATTAATTTACTTACTAAAAACTACTAAAATAAAAAACAGAGCCTGCTTGGTTTGTAACTTTGAGAATAATGTGCAAAATCTCTACTTAATTCAGTTTTCTTAAAACTGTTTTCTAAAAATATTTTAGTTTCCTAAAACTTTTTTAGTTATCTGATTTTCTGAATTCTTGATAACGTACTGTTTTCAGAGTTTTATTTTTTTATTTTTTTATTTTTTTTTTCAGTTAAATGATAAGCTTGTATAGATGAGAAAAAAGAATATACAATGAGTCCCATTTTGGGAAGAAAACAACACCAAGGGAACCCTTAGTTAGACAAACTGAACTATCAACAACAAGAGAATAAATAAAGACTGCATTGCTAATGTTGAGAGAATGTCAACATAGTAACTAAGATCCACAAACTACAGCATCCTACCCTCCAGAGAAACTCAACACTACGATCATCAGCCTTTCTTGCAATGGTTAAGATAATCGCCAAGATTGACCACAAGCTGTGGAACAACCTTGCTGGAAAAGTAGTAGTAGCTGGGAAAGGGATGTGAGCTGTTTCAAGACATATGAACTTTTAAGCTTGAGTGCTGCAAGTCTTGATCTAACATAGTCCTTCACCTGGGCTATGATGCAGCTAGAGGATGATGAGTGGTTCCTGAATGCTTTAGCATTCCGTTCCATCCAAATAAAATATACAGTTACAGCCTAAAGCAACTTATGCATAAGAAATTTTGGTGAGGACCAATGAGATGAACACCATTGCAAGAGACTAGACCAGCTACTAGGTGAAATGTAGAAACCTGCAACTTCTTGGACAAACCTCCGAATGTGTGAAGGGTACTCACATTTGAAGAAGAGATGATCAATGGATTCCCAAGCTGAATTACATAGATAACAACAGTTGGTGTAGTGTTTATGCAGAACTGGTTTTGCATCCAATGTGTATAATCTTCCCTTAGTAGCTAGCCAGAGAATAAGACTATGCTTAGGAATATGATGCTTGAACCACACAACCTTGTGCCAAGGAAAAATTGGTGAGGGAGGGTTGAAGTAGCTTAAGGTGTGTGCCATTAAGAACCCTTGGGTAGGGCTAGGCAGCCATTGAATACTATCAATTTCAGAGGATGGTTGGGGCAGTTCCTGAAGTTAAGAAATGAAACTTCTTGAGTTAAAAAACTCTGAATCTTTGGCAGGACGATGCCGGTCTGTTTTCAGAGTTACAAATCAAGCAAGCCCCAAAATTCATAATAATATAACTTGAACAAAAATTCCAAAAACTTCTACAGTCTTCCTAGAAAAACATGATTGTGGGGCCCTAAACGACTAAATTTGGTATTAAATGGCATGAGCCACTACCAAAAGCTAGTGGGTTCTGCTTGTCTCATTTTTTATTAGGAATGGGTCTCTTAAAGTCGATCGAAATAAGTTGACAAAATTGTTTTACATCAGTCTCTTGCACTTCAAAAAAAAACTTGTCCTCAAATTTGGCTATGAATAAAGTATCCAATTATACACAAGTATGACCAAGATTTTATACTATGATGTTGTGACCTGAGTTTAGTGCGGGGTTGTGTTGCGACTTGACGACCCGTTGAAAGAAAAAAATTTAACCCAATTTTTGGTTGCGGGTCATGCATCATATTTAGTATCTCTTGTACCCCCATATATAAGGGCGCTTAGGGTTTAGAGTAGGATGAGTTGAGTGACTTAGCGGATCAATGAAAGGAAACAAAATAATTAAGAATAGTAACGTATTCTTTAAACACTCGAATCCACAAAAAGAGATTGGGAAAAACTCTTGATTTTCTGATATTAATAAAAGAGATAGTTGATCTCTAAACTATTAAAGTAGCATGTATTTATAGGCCTAAGAAAATCTTAAACTATATAGGAAATTAAATCAATGGAAACTTTTCTAAAACAGATAAAAAACTATTTAGAAAATTAAAATAATGAAAAATTTCCTAAACACAAACTAAACTATTAAGAAATTAAAACAATCAAAACTTTCATAAAATATAAAATAGAAACTAGAAAACACTGTTCACTCTACTGTTCATGCACTGTTCACATGTGCTATATCATCATGCTCCCCTTCTTTGCTTGTATTTTGCTGACAATTCATCATATATAAGTATGGACAAAATTTTATACTACTTTAGGTGGACAAGCAAACCATTTTGTCCATAAGGGACATGGTAGTATAATTTCATATGGAACATGCATATTAGAACAACAATCAACTAGGTCTCTATAAATGACATCATCTTTGTTCTAAGCGCATATCATGGTAGCACCCCTAGTCTTTGTTATCATGCTCTCAACTTCTTAAATCTCATTAGTACCAGTACCATTGCTCTTCAAATATGGGTCTATGTAGCAGTAAATGTCCCCACATTCCATGTTGACATCCTCTTCTTTGTATTGCTCTACATCTAATTCGTTCAAACTATTCCTTTTGTCCAAGGACTCCATCTTTGAAGCTTTATTATTGGAAGTCCATTTGTTACAACTAAAGTAAGGACAATTTCATCATCCTCAACTACAAGAGGTGGAGCAAAATAATT